TACTCCTCCTCCGCCTGTCATATTGGAAGGGGATGAACATTTTGAAATAGCTGATATCCTTGATTGTAAAGTGAAACGTGGTAAACTCTGGTACCTTATCGAATGGGTTGATTTCGGTCCCCAGCACCGCGAATGGGTGGAAGAAGGGGATATTCGGGCCCCTTACCTGATCCGTAGTTTCCACAGAAGGTTCCCGGACAAACCGGGAGGTCTCCCGCCCAGCCCGGGAGGTCTCCCGCCCAGGCCGGGAGGTGTGTTGTAAGTGTATTTTAAGGGGGGCAGTATGTCAGCATGCTGCCATTCTGTTTTCTGTGACCTCTGTGTACATATCCTTTCCCTGTTGCACCCGGCTTGTTTTCTATCATCCTGCTCCTGCGTTGGAATGCACAAGATAACTGCTGGAGGTTGTGTGGGGGAGAAGATGCTGTAATGCTTGCCTATTGATTTTCCCAGGACTACTGCACCTGTGTTTTGTCTGATGTTCTGCCTGGTTCTCATGTACTGGGCGCGCAACCGTTTCCTTAGCCCGCCAGCGGGAAAGTTATTCATTGGATCTGTATCTGTTTGAAGTTCCTTTATTATGCTTGACCTAACTGTGTATCCCCAGTTCTAACAAAGAACGTGTTTGAGTATGTCTTCAACGCTTTGAAATAAATTTTGCTTTTCTTTAAAACGTGGATTTATTCTCGATGCTTGGGGATCCAACACCAGGAAAGAAACCCCGGGGAGAGCCATTTTTGAGACTCCTTTTGATTTACTAAAATTTTTAGCTTGTGAACAGAAGAGCTGGCCAGGACCAAGAGGCTGGGGCTGAAAGCGTTTGGAAGCTGTGATACAGTGTAGTGTAGAGGTTAGAGTGTCTGACACGGGTTCGAATCCCCACTCTGCTGTGGAAGCTTGCTGGGCGATCTTGGGCCAGTCACACTCTCTGCCTAACCTGCTGCACAGGATTGTTGCGAAGGTTAAAATGGAGAAGAGGAGAACAATGTAAGCTGCTTTGTGTCCCTGTTGAGAAGAAAGATGGAGTATAAATGAAATAAATAAAATGAGGAGGTTGTGTATGAAGAAGAAAAAGAAGGAAAGATTTTATTTATTTATTTATTTATTTATTATTTTATTTTATTTTTTGTATTTATACCCTGCCCTCCCCGCAAGTGGGCTCAGGGCGGCTTAAAAGAGATTTATACCCTGTCCTTCACTACTTGAAGGAGTCTCAGAGCGGCTTACAAACTCCTTTCCCTTCCCCTCCCCACAATGGACACCCACCCTGTGAGGTAAGTGGGGCTGAGAGAGCTCTCTTGAGGACTACTCGTGAGAGAACAGCTCTGAAAGGACTTGTAAATGACCCAAGGTCACACCTGCAGCTGCGTGTGGAGGAGTGGGGACTCAAACCCGGTTCTCCCAGATTAGAGTCCGGGCTCCTCACCACTACACCAAACTATGACCTTACAAGTTTTGGGCCCGGACTCGATGCAGAGCAGAGGAAAGGGGGAATCTGGGTCTGAACCTGAGATGCGACAGAAACAGGAAAGCCGCCCCCGCCCCCCCCCGGCTATATACCACCTTTGGGGGGGGGTTAGGCCCCAGGAGGACAGGAAGAAACATCTGTTAACATCTATTATGAATGCCTACCGGGAATGTTCAGGTTGTGTTTGTGGATGTGGTTGCGAGATTCCGGAATGAATAATGTGTAGTTTGAGCACTTTAATGTTTGAATGGGTTTTAAATTGTATATTATGTTTTTAACTGTACTAAAGTATTGATGTTTTATTAGCAAGTTTTTTCTTGCCATGTAAGCCGCCCTGAGCCCCACGGGGAAGGGCGGGGTATAAATTTAATAATAAATAAATAAATAAATAAAGATGTGGATTATCAGTGCTCCCGTCCGACTGTCCAGACCTGCTGGAATGCTCCCAGTCTTTCTAAACTTCGGTTGAAACTGCCCACAATCGGGGAGGTGATGGAATACAGGCTCTGAGTCCTGTAGAAGTCATCAAGTTGTACACCCAGGGGTGTATCCTGCAGTTGATATAACGCAGGGGTTCTCAAACTTGTCGAAGAGGGAACCTGCTTCTGAGCTTGCTCGGCACTTAACTCCTTCCTACTTCCCCCTTCCCCAGCATAAGATACAAGAATCTCATATCTGTTGACACGGCAACAATTTATATTTTATATGTTTTAACATTAATAACTATCTGGCAACACTGAGCAACATGGCCGTTCCGGTGTGCAAAGGCAAACCCAGATCTGTCACTGAGTCTCCCCGTGCTGCCTTTCCAAGATCACCCTGTGCCGCCTCCTCTGCCTTCTTGGCCTTGTGACCCATCTGTGAGTGAGTGGGCGACCCACTTTTGGGTCCTGGTCCACAGTTTGAGAACCACTGTTCCCTCTTAAGCTGAGTGAGTGTGAGCTAGCTCACAGTTTTTTAGCCTCCGGCCCACACATTTTTGTCTCAGCTCAGGAAGGAGGGCTCCAGAGCAAACTAATTTACACAGTAGCCAAATCGCTCGCTCACAACTTTAAGGCCAGTAGCTCACAAAGTAGAATTTTTGCTCACAAAACTCCACAGCTTAGAGGGAGCATTGACTGGTATAGTAGCTTCAGTCTGACCAACAGAAGAAAAAAAAAGACACCACGGAGATTGATTCTGTTTTCTCCAGAGCGATGTGGATTTTCTTTTAAAAACGGAGGGGGGGGGGGGCTGAGAAGAAATGGACTTTTAGGGGCAGGAACAGATGGAAGAACTGGTATGCCTCACTCAACCTGCATCACCATGGTGTGGTGTTGTGCTGTATGCCTGATGGACCTCTGCTCCATATCTATATATCTAAATCCGCACCTGGGGGGCAGGGAGATTTTCCTGCGCACGTGGGGCAATGCCCAGGTGTGCAGAAAAATCTGAAAACTGTAAAAAAAAATATAGGGGGGATATTTAAATCCCCCAAAAGGTAACTGAGCGCCCCCTGCGCATGCACAGGGAACGCTCTTAGAACGGCTTCACCGCCGCCGCCAGAGAAGGGGAGGTGGTGGTGGGAGATGGCTTGGCCAGCCGGCGGCTATAAGCCACACATCCCTCGCCGCCACCACCTGGGGGGGAGGGCAAAGGTTTGGCGGGCCGAGCTCGGAGCCACACAGGCCTCACCGTCGGGGCCAGGCAGGGGGCGGGGAAGAAGGCTTACCTGCGATGGCTTCCTCCTTCTTGACAAGTAAGGGGAGGGAGGGGGGAAGGAGAAAGGTTGGCGGGCTGGCCTCACCGCCGCCACTGGGGGTGGAGGGAGGGAGGGAGGGAGAAGGATAGGTTCACCTGTTGCCATTTCTACAGGGACTTCTTTCTCTACCTTCTCTGTCTGATGCATAATTTTGTGAACCTCTGTCATGTCACCCCTCAAACATCATTTCTCCAAGCTAAAGATCCCTCACCTCTTTAACTGATTCTGTGAACTTGGCCAGATCACGGGGGTGTGTGTGTGACCTGAGTGCTTAGTTCTCTTGGCCATTTTCTTACACACCCAGGGAACTGCCGATTGCTACTTTGGGGTCAGAAAGCAATTTTTCTCCAGGCCAGTTTGGCCAGGTGTCAGGTTCCTGGTTAAATCAGTTCTCAACACCAGCCAGTTTTTAGAAAGCTAACTAGAGATGTAAAATTTCCGGAGATTTTTAAGCTCGGAAAAAACCTTGGTTTTTTTCCAGGAAAAAACGGAAATTTTCGGGAAAATAGAAAAAAATGCTAGCACTTCTTTTTTCTTTTCCAGATTGAAAGTCATTCTGTTACTTTAGGAACATAAAATATGACTATGGACATTTTTACTTGGCATGAAATTATCACAATTAGCATATTAAAAATATAGTGTATCCAAACAATTATTACAAACAGAATATCCACCCACATCCAAAAACAAAACTGAAACCTTTTCTTGTGACAATAGCACCTCCTAAAGAAAGAAATGCATCTTGTTCTTGCATCAGAGTGTTCAGTTTGTAACCTAGGACTTGCTTGTTCCTCAGTGCACAGAAATTAGATCAATCTGATACCATGCATATTTTTTAGAAATTATTTGGAAAATATTTGAACATCTTGTCTTAAAATATTTTATTCATCATGTTAAAATAAAACATTCCATAATCAATTTTTTTTCCTTTACTTTTTTTCAATTTTTCCAGTTTTTCGGAAAAAACAAAAAAAGCCTTCAGGGGGAAAACGGGGGACGGGGATGTTTTTTTCTAAATTTTTCCAGTTTTTTCCTGAGCCTTCACATCTCTAAAGCTAACTTTATTGAGACAGTTGATAGACACCATCCTGGACACATCTGTTGTTAGGACTGAAGTTAAACGTGGGAAGGTTGTAGATATAGTGGATTCAAGTAAAGGCACTAAAGATCAAGACCCAATCACCCCACGGTATTTGCCCTCCAGAACTAACCGTCAGCTTCCCCCCCCCCTTCCCCCATAGGCACGTAGCCTTTACCTAGTGAGGAAAACAGGATCACAGACATTTGAGAAGCCAGGACATTTGACATCACTAAGGTGACAAGCCCCCGCCCCCCACATCAAAGAGAGCGATAGAGGAACCTCCTCTCCCAATGACAGGCGTGCTGTAAAATGCAAAATGCACAGGGAGCCTGACACAAGGGATCATGGAGGGTTTTGTGGATCATCGGTCACTGCGGGTGTGGAGGGGGAGGTATTTGTGAGTTTCCTGCATTGTGCAAGGGGTTGGACTAGATGACCCTGGAGGCCCCTTCCGACTCTATGGTTCTATGATTCTTTCTTCATAGGGAAAGTGTTCCACCCCCTTAATCATTTTAGTTGCCCGTTTCTGCATCTTTTCCAAGGCTATAATATCTTTTTTTGAGGTGTGGTGACCAGTTCTGTGCACAGTATTCCAAGTGAGGCCGCACCATTGATTGATACAGGGTATAGATGGCTTCTTATAAATAAATTCATGTGAAACGTGTAACGCCGTGGACTTCTCTGTCTCCTCCTTCTTTCTCCCTCCACAGAAGACGACGTTTGCGTGTTCAAGTGTTCTGTGTCGAAGGAGACGGAGTGCAGCCGAGTCGGCAAGCAGTCCTTCATCATCACGCTGGGATGTAATAGTGTCCTTATACAGTTTGCGACGCCAAGCGGTAGGTCACCGGTAGATTTGCGTTGGGTTTGCTCGGAGCCGCGGTGCTAGGGAAGACACAGCATTGCTGCGGGAGAGAGGCTGGACGCTCCACCCCCTCCAGTGCGTACCATCCTCAAGGTGGAAAGGTTCTTTCTGGTTGTACGGTTGACTAACCCCCCGCCCCTCGGGCCGGATTTGTGTGTTGTCTTCCTACAAAGGAGATTCTGTACAGCTGATCTTTTCAGAGGGCAGCGGTGTTGGACCACAGCAGAACAGCTCGATTTGGGTCCCGTAGAGTTGTGGGAAGGCCGCAGCCGACTTATGGCAGCCCCATAGGGTTTTCAAGGCAAGAAACGTTGAGTGGCGGTCTGCTATTGCCTGCCTCTGTGGAGCAATCCCTGGACTTCCATGGTGGCCCTCCCACCCAAGTACTAACCAAGGTTCACAGCAGAACAGCTCGATTTGGGTCCCGTAGCGCCTTGGTGGTTGTGGGAAGCGCCCTTGGGTCGCAGCCAACGTATGGCAGCCCCATAGTGTTTTCAAGGCAAGCAACGTTCCACGGTGACCTCCCAACCAAGTACCAGCTCCCATCCAAATACTAACCAGGACCTGCTTAGCTTCCAAGATCTGACAAGATCAGGGTCGCCTGGGGACATCCTTAGACACCAGCAAGCATTTGGGGGTAGAAGGTTTCAAGAGTCAATCCTTCCTTCATCAGAGACCTAAATGTGTCGAATATGTGGCTCCAAAGATGTCATTGGACGGTGGTCTCTGTGTGGGAAGAAATAAAAGCGAAACATGTAACATGGCTAGAAATGCTGAAACAAAGGGGAAGAGACGCCTTTTTATTTTATGAATTTTATACATTTTAATTTATTTTATTGTGGGGGGGGAGAAATTGAAACACATGTAACATTTTATGCGTAACGTACGTCATCTTTACAGTGTTAGGAAGCAGACAGTCATGATGTAAAACGTTTATCCACAATTACAGTTCCAGGTGGGGCAGCCGTGCTGGTCTGAAGCAGTAGAATAAATGTAGAGTCCAGCGGGGGCACCTTTAAGACCAACGAAGGTCTATTCAAGGTATGAGCTTCCGTGTGCAAATACACTGGAATGGAAGGTGGAGTCCAGGTGGTCAGCTGGGTTGGTCTGAAGCAACAGAACAGATTCAGAGTCTGCCTGCTCTGCCTCCCATGCCAGTGTATCTGAGGAAGGTGTGCCCTTGCACACGAAACCTCACACCTTGAATAAACCTTTGCTGGTCTTAAAGGTGGGAGGGAGGCTGGGAGGGGGGGGTGCAAAGGAAAACCCACATGGGTGGACTGGAGAGCGAGCGGTGCAGTACTGGGCAGAGGCTCCCACGCTGCTTGACTGCTGCAGGTGAGGTTGTTCCACCATGCTGAAGCCACATTAGGAAAGGCTCCGCCCACTCCCCCCCCAAGTAGTTTACTGTTCCCTCCCTCGCACATAAGAGCCTTGGATGGGCCGCTTCCGCCCCCTGGGCCTTATGTTTGACACCCCTGTTGTGGTGGTTTTGAAATGAGACAATTAGTTATGATGTATCTATAACACATTAGAATAGCCTTAGGCACCTGGTAGGCCTGTCTAGCCCTGACCTGAATGGCCCAGGCTAGACTGATCTCGTCGGACCTCGGAAGCCAAGTAGGGTCAGCCCTGGTTAATATTTGGATGGGAGACCAGCAAGGAAGTCCAGGGTCTCTACACAGAGGCAGGCAGGCAATGGCGAAATCCGTTTGTCTGTTGCCTTGAAAACCCTACAGGGTTGCCATAAATTGAAGTGACTTGAGGGCAAAGAAACCCAAACAGCCCTGTCTAAATAGCTCAGCCTTGCTCTGCCACTGAGGCGCAGCTAAAATGATATGCTGAGGAAGGCCATCCCACCTCAGGAGCCACAACTGAAAAGGCCCTGTGTGGGCAGATGCTGATCTAGTCTGGCTGCAGGGCGGCTCTCTTAAGCAGACCATGGTCTTGGACTGAAGCTGCCACCCAGGGGTGTGTTGGGAAAGGCGCTTCTCAAGATATGAGGGTCCTTGGCTGGGAAGGCCACTATGTAGGTCGTAACCAGTACATTACGGTGGATCTAGAAACAAACGTGATTGGGTTTTTTATGTCGGCAGGTTGTCTCTCTTCACATCAGTCCAAAACCAAGAGAGGGAGAGCCAGTTTGGTGTAGTGGTTAGGAGCGCAGACTCTAATTTGGGAGAACTGGGTTTGATCCCCCACTCCTCCGTATGCAGCTGCTAGGTGACCTCGGGCCAGTCACAGTTCTCTCGGAGCTATTCTATCAAGAGCAGTTTCTCTCAGAGCTCTCTCAGCTCCACCTACTTCATAGGGTGTCTGTTGTGGGGAGAGGAAGAGGAGGAGATTGTCAGCTGCTCTGAGACTCCGAGTGAAGGGCGGGGTATAAATCCAATCTCCTCTTCTTCCTCTTCTCTCAAGCAGCTGTTTTCCCTCTGCCAAATCTTTCTGTACTGACCGCCCCCCCACCCCCCCATAATTTACAGTGTGCACGTCCAGTTCGTTTGCATTTGTTTAACTGTGCTTTCGAGATTTGTGTATTCCAAAATTGAGGGATAGGGGAGAGTAAAGATAGCCGATCAACATGGCAAAGAATTCTGTAGAACATGAATCTGCTTAGGGCAATGGAAGACGTAACCATGTTAGATTTTATAACTTTTGTACAGTATCGAAGGCCAGGAACTGGGAAGTTGTTTTAAAACAGCAGCTGAAGTCTGCGGAGTTTAATCAATGAATTGATTAAACTCCCCCTTTCAACACGAAGAGTAGCATCTGGCACGTGAAATCTGTTTTCTGATGGTTGTACTTAATGTGGTGCACCCATATGTTTGTGGGACTTGGATGGGAGACCTCCAAGGAATACCAGAGGTGGGAGGGGTGCAGGCCTTATTCAGCCACCTCTCTGAATATCCTCCAGGCCCCCAGTAGGGAACAGTCACCAGAGGTCACTATGACTTCCAGGTGCACATACACTCACGTGCGCGCACACACACACACACATATGAAAAATATTTTTAAAAACCTCAAAAGGAAAGGAAAAAGAAAGGGTAGAGTAGACCTGGCCGTCTGCAGAGGAGCTCCTTTGCATTATAGTGACTGGGAAACGGTGACGTTGTTTGGGATCAGTAGCACCACATGATGCACCTGCTGACAGGTCGTATCATTTCAGATTGCAAGGGTAGGGTAGAATGCTTCACCCATGTTAAAAAAAAAAAATGAAACTTCTTCCGCATAGTATGCAGGCATGCCAGATTCCTTCCATAGATCCAGGTTGGTCTGAAGCAACAGAACAAAGTTGGAGTCTAGTGTCACCTTTAAGACCAACAAAATTTAATCCTGGGTGTGAGCTTTTGTGTGCGTGCACGCTTCTTCAGATCCTGAAGAAGATTTGAAGAAGTGTGCATGCACACAAAAAACGTATACCCAGAATTTAACTTTGTTGGTCTTAAAGGTGCCACTGGACTCAGACTTCATTAGATTCCTTTCATATACAGCTCTTTCCTCTCTATCTGTGGGAAAGGACATCTGCCATTATGGTTTACTGGAAACAGAGGTAGTTATCTTTAGGCTGACTTTATCAGTCTAGCAGACTGGGCGGTGGCAGAGCTGGGCTGTGTCTTGGGAGTTTGAGTGTTCTGGCTTTTTAAATTCCAAGCAGACATTTCTGCCCCTTTGCTGTCTGTAAGTGGGAAAAGCGATCCAGCTACACCTTTCAGAGAGTTTCTCAGGAGGAATGTAATCAAAGATAGGAGAGTCAGAAATACGAGGGAAGGGGAGACAAAGTTTAGACCATGGAAAAATAATTTCAGACTTCTTGTAAGGCACATTAGATGGTGTCTCATTTGGGGTTTCCCCACCCGCTTTCTGTATTTTGACCCCCTGGGGTCCAAAAGAGAACCAGTATGGCTGCAGCGGTGCCTAGTGAGCACAGATCAGATGGATGAGGCGGCAGTATCATACTTCAGATGGGGTTATGGAGTTGGGGAGGAGCTCTTTTACTCAATTAATAAAGTCTGCAACATTTGTATCCTGCCTTTGTGCGTGTAAAACCGTTAAAATCAACCCCCCCACACACATATCATTAAAAAAAATTAAAAACAGACTTAAAATACGTACAGGATATAAAATCGTATGTACAGGATATAAAAACCTGAAAAAACACTGGTTAGGAGGAGGTATCACCAATGAAACAAAAAAGGCCTAACCTGCTGGTGGAAGACGGCAACCGAAGGGGACGGATGAATATCCTCGGTGGGGCGGAGTTCTGCAGCTGTGGTGCCCCAGCCAAGAAAGCCCTCTTCTGGGTTGCCACTAGGGTTACCAAGTACCTATCTTCGATTCGGTGGGGGACACATGGTTCCCAGCCAGAACATCCCTCAGTGTAACACTCCCCCGCCGCACCATGCTGTCGCCCAGACATTACGCCAGCACGCTGGGCACGTAGCTGGGCGATGCTCTGGCGATGGAGCTGGTACCATCAAGTTTCTGGGCGACTGCATGGTGCGGTGTGTTTGTTTTCCGCGGGGGAATGTTCCTGACAAGAAGTATGTGTCCCCCGCCGATTCAAGGTAGGTACTTGGTAAGCCTAGTTGCCACCCACCTAGGCTCCGAAGTTAGGGATACCTGAAGCAGCGCCTCTGAAGGCGACAGTAGCGGCTGGGCAGGTTCATAAGGGCCAAGGCAGTCCTTGAGGTATGCTGATATAGGGCTTCCAAGGTTAAGACCAACACCTCCAGGGTCATCTAGTCCAACCCCCTGCACAATGCAGGGAATTCACAAATACCTCCCCCTCCACAGCCTCAGTGACCTCCGTTCCACACCCAGAAGGTGACACAAAAACCTCCAGGATCCCCAGTCAAAGTGGCCTGGAGAAAAGTTGCTTCCTGACCCCAAAGTGGTGATCGGCATCTTGCTGGGCGTGTAAGAAAGGGCCATGAGAACTAAGCACTGAGGCGACCCTTCCCGCCCTCCCTCTCGTGATCTGCTGTGAGATGGCCATCTAGCCTCTGTTTGAAGACCTCCAAAGGAAGAGAGCCCACCTTGAGTTGTGCTGGGAAACAAACTGGGAACCAGCATAGAAGAGCTAAGACTGGAGTGCCGTGGTCTCTGTTTGGATCAGAAAGGACCGTGGCCACTTCTGGGTTAATGTCTGCCAGCTAGCCGTGAAGAAATGTTAGGTTGGGTGCAGAGCTGTGAAATTCCAAGCTGTTCTCCTGGGAACACCTTAATGTGAACTGGATGGATTTTCTGACTGGGTGAGCTAGTGCCTTAGCCGTGGCACATTTGGGGGCTGTATGCCCTCTGGATCCTACAGGAACGCTGTCCCAGGTTCAGAGTTTCTTTATGTTCATGAAACTTGAGAGAGTGCAACTGGAAAAGCGGAGTTCATGCATAATATTTTTGTAAGGAACTTTGTTTAAAAGATGGCTGGGAAAGGGGGGGGGGGAAGCACCAGTATTCATTAAAAACTCTTGAGTATTGGAACCAACGGACGGTTTAGCACCCTGACTGTGCTAATTTTGATTGTAAAATACAGTTTTATGCCATTGTTTGCATCTTGTCTTCTTGATTTCAAACAGAGGTATCGTGATGGCTGGGATTTCTGACCGCATCACATTGGAACACGAGGCATCCTTTTATCTTCTAGTAAAAGGGAGACTCACCAGGAACATGTCTTGATCAGTGTTCCCTCTAAGCTGAGTTAGTGTGAGCTAGCTCACAGTTTTCTAGCCTCCGGTTCACAGGTTTTTTTGTCTCAGCGCAGGAAGGATGGCTCCAGAGCAAACTACGTTTCGCTGTAGCCAAATTGCTCGCTCACAACTTTAATGCCAGTAGCTGACAAAGTAGAATTTTTACTCACAAGACACCCCCCCCCCCCAAATACCCCCCCCCCCAATGATCCCTTCAAGCTGTGGAGTCTCGTGAGCAAAAAATTGGTCTGGAGCCACCCTTCATGAGCTGAGACAAAAATGTGTGAGCCGGAGGCTAAAAAGCTGTGAGCTGGCTCACACTAACTCAGCTTAGAGGGGACACTGGACCCCACAGCTTAGAAGGGAGCCTTGGTCTCGATCACGTTCCCAACTGAAAAACACAATCCTTAACTGATGCCTCACACGTCATATAAAATAGTGATCGCTCGGCCAGGAAAACAACAGAGAATAAAACGAACCCTCTGCTGTTCCAAAAAAAGGGGGGGGGTGAGGCAAAGCTGGAGAACAGAGACATGGGGTGGGGGGGTTGCGCTTGTGCCTCTTTCCCCTCCTCCCACCCCTCCTCCCCCTCCTCCCCATCTGCTTCTCCTTCTGAACCGGAGAGGATGTCGCCCACGAGCCAGAGGTTCTGGCCCAGGTCTCAGCGATGACGTTTGAATGCTAAAGTGGCACTTGCTTGGTTCTGTTTTTAGACTTCTGCTCTTTTTATAATATCTTAAAAAACTGCCGGGGCCACAATGTGGAGCAGTCTGTGTTCAGTGAGCGTACCGAGGAATCGTCTGCTGTGCAGTACTTCCAGGTAAGTGGGGACATCGATGTGGGGTTTTTTTTGGGTTAAGGGGAGGCACTGTGTTAAAAGACAAACAAAAAAACTGTGTACCAAAAGTTGAGTGACTGTGCATGTATAAATGGCAGATTAACCTGTTCAGATGTTTTTGGCATTTAGGGAGGAGGGCTGGAATTCTGAGGGCGGAGTGTGAAAGAGATACGTTACAGACTGGGTTATGGGAGGAATAGTGGATTCCAGGCGTCTGTAATCCCATACTCCTTTGGTGTGCTGTAAAGCGCCACAGGAAGTTACCAATATATGTGCAAGGCTCTCTCCACAGTGACAACACAGGCCTCAGCAGTAACCGTATGAATTTGCAGGCCCAAGCCCTGGTTATCAGGGAGACGCTGGGCCACGTAAAACAGCTCTTGTATGCTGCCAGTATTGGTGGATGTGCTCTTTCTGGGTGGTTTCCCCCACAGTATGTGATGGAGTGAGTGAGTGAGAGAGAATGGGTGAGCATTTCTCTTGGCATCTCTTGGGGCAATTAGTCACAGCCTGGTTGGTATGAGGGATATTTCACGTAGCTGTTTAGTCATGTTTTTCTAAAATACAGGGTACGCACACCCTTTTTCTCTGTGAGGTGGTAGGATTTATTTGGTTCATCAGGATCTTTTTGGCTTCTTTTCTAGTTTTATGGATACTTATCCCAGCAACAAAATATGATGCAGGATTATGTCAGAACGGGCACCTACCAGCGCGCAATCTTGCAGAACCACAGTGACTTTAAAGACAAGGTAGGTGGATGGAATCGAACAGCCCCTTTTGAGGTCCCTTTGCTGTTGTGACGGGACCGAACGCAGGCCACAGGCCCCTGGTAACGACCTGTGGTTCCGAAAGGGCAACTGGAAATCTCTTCCTTTGCTAAAGGCCATTAGCAGAACGTAATGTTAATAGCAAAACTTAACTCTTCTTAAAAAGAAGTTAACATGATGTATCGTTATATTGTCCATCAGCTGTTGGCTGTTATGATTTCCCTTCTCTGTAATTCTCGCCCTCACGGGGTCTAGTAGATGTTGCTGACGCATCTCCTCCAAGCTCTGGCCAAACTCTGTGCAGCGCCTCCAGAGTGATGACTACCAGTGACGTCATTGCATCAATGGCATTCCCATGGGACACTGCTGTTGGGGGGGGGGCTTCCCCCACTGACCAGCTGGCCAGCAGCAGATGGGCCCCCCCAAAAAAACTGGGGGATCCCCTGTCCCAACCAGAGGGGTCGCAGCCCTAGGTTGAGGGGAAGGCATTTTTTGCATTCCCAGAAGCATTTTTCTTCTAGGACTCGGTCTGTGCTGAAAAACTCTTGGGCTAAGCCCTTGTGAAATCTTGGCACAGAGTGAGCAAGTAGCCATGATGGCTGACAGTAGTGGAGACAGATTCTAGAGGGGTCACCATGTTAATCTACTGCAGCAAAACCAAAAGCAGATCTTGTGCCATTGTAAATATATATATGTATTTATATATATATAAATAACACCACCATCTGAGGACTCTGCTAACCTGCCTTGTATCCATGATGGGGACTATCAAACTTTCACATCTCCTTGATTTTTCCTTCCCCATGAAACATCTTTATATTGTTGAGAGCTTGCCTTTTTTGTTTTGTTTTGGGTGAGTGGAAATACTTTAAAGAAATACCTTAAAGTATTCTTTTCAGCTGAGAACTTTTTTGAGAGAGGGGGATGTTTCACTTCATTCAGTGGGGCCTATTCCCTGGTAAGCTGGTGTCTCTTCTTGTGTTTAATGTATCGTACCCTTCAGTATTCTGGCGAGGCTGGGAAGTCTCTCTGATTTCTTGCTTGCTCTTTTTGCGCTTTATCCAAAGGTTACCTCGGAAGTAAAATCTATTCTTTAATAATTCCTCCCTCTTTTCCTGTACTGTTTCTTACCTAATGAACCTATTCTGTTCGTGGTCTCAGGAAGCCAAGCAATTTGTTTTGTTACGACATTTGGTTTGAATCAGGGCCATAAGGGGGGAGGGTGTCAGATGGCGTCTTTGTCCACGGGCCCATGCTCGCTCTCAGCATGTAGCGCATTCTACTTCAGAGCTGTGGTGATCTGCTATCTGTCGGTCAGGTTACTCTCCTGAGACCTCCAGCGAATTCTTCTCCCACATCAAAATGGCATATTATGAAAAACCCGGAGTGTGTTCTCTTTCTTCCCCACCAGAGAAATCTAGGTCTGATCTTTGGAGGGCTCCGGTGCCTCCTCATGCTCGAGAGCCCTTTTCTAAGCTCTTAGACCTGAGGTAAAGGTTTCTCTTGCTCGAAAGTCAGTCGAATCTGACTCCAGGGGGCGATGTTCATCTCCGTTTCCAAGCCAAAGAGCCAATGCTGTCCAAAGACGTTTCTGTAGTCATGTGGCCGGCATGACTAGACACCCGAGGTGCACGGAACGCTGTTACCTTCCCACCGAAGCAGTATCTATTTATCTATTTGCATTTTCTTGCTTTCGAACTCCTAGGTTGGCAGAAGCTGGGCCAGAGACGGGAGTTCACTCCGTTATGTGGCACTTGGGTCTCGAACTGCTGAACTACCGACCTTCCAGTCTGCAGTTCAGCGTCTTAACCACTGAGCCACCACAGCCCCTTAGACCTGAGGAGCCCTGGGATTATGAGGACATTGTCTACCAGCATTGATCCGGAATGGGTTTTTTCTTTTTTTTGAAGCTCTCATACTTGTTGGCTTCACGACCAAGGCTTACACAAATAACCAGGATAAACAGACACCCCGTTTGAAGTTTGGTTTCAGAATGCTGAATCTCAAGCGAAACGGCATCGAAGAGATTGAGTAATGATCTCGTCCCCAGAGCCTGAAATAGAAGTTACACCTTCCGAAGCCGAAGCTGAAGTTCGGCTTAACCTGTCTGATTGTTGCTGAAATGCGAACCCTCTGTACTATCTTGCAGATAATGCAATTTTGATCTTTTAGTTTGATCTGTGGCATTCACTGGGCTTTATTTGTGTTGTTGTACATCTCGGTGAATTTATACATACACAGTTCAGACACACAACCTTTAGTGTAGTAGATATTTTCCCATGGCCCCTTGCATTTACATTAACTGTGGATGCCAGTCTGGAAGGTTGGTGAGGCCAGTATAATGAACTGGTAGTGCAGGACAGGAGACGGCAGTATCAGCTCTAAATCTCAAGGCAATCCACTGGGCTGTTCTTGCCCTTGAACACAGAGTGACAGCTTTCCACATTGCTTTGCATGGCAACCACTGGGAACATGAACTGCTGGAGGAGACACACGTTCAAGACACTTGGGCTGCCACTGGGATATGGGTTGGTGTTTCAGTTCGTGTTATGTGTTTTTTTTCCTGTTCCCCCTTTTTTGTCACACAATGGGTGCAGTCAGACGGCGTGCTGAAGCGGTTTAAACTGCTCTGGTTCCAATCGGATTATATTTGATCCAGGACAAGTGCGATCCCACTTACCTCCCTCACCGCGCAGCACATCGCTCCCGGGCGTCCACACTACAGGCGCGCAGCAGTGCGTGTCGGCAGTTTTTCCTCCCACTGTTTGTGCATGCGCATAGGCACCCATCCATATAATTGAAATCTTCATGCCAAAAGCATGCCCTGAAGTGAACACTTCCCTTTAAACTTTTACAACAAAACTGGCCTCTGTGAGGTCCCGGACTCATCTAAAGCCTAAAACTAAGCACTGTTTTTTAATTCTTTTAATGCCGGGGTGAAGCTTCGCCCAAGCACATATCGCCGATGCTAAAATAAAACGGCGGACGAAAAGCGGAAGCCTCGGGCTTCCGAGTGGAAGTGGCTCTACACCGGCGGAGGTGCAATCACGTGTCAGGAAAATGCGGCTGGAACCGGAGCACCAGGAAAACACCACTTGGGGACCTGGTAGCAAAATACTCCGGTTTAAAGGGGGTTTGAGCCGGTTGGCAACGGCTAGGAACGGGAGGCAGATGTTGGCTGTGTGATCGCGCGTAAATAGTCCATTTCTAACCGGCACGTATCCCAGCTCAAATGGCCCATCTGAACAAGCCCTCTGTCTTGAACTGTAGGAGTGCTTCTATTGAGCCACTTTTAAAGGGGTGATGGTTACTGGTATGGATACAGTCCTGCACAAAATTAGCTCAAGTTATAGGACAGTCTTCCTGACTTAACACTCCAGCACGTTGCTCCAATAGACCTATAACTGTGGGTGGGGTGGGGGGGGTTCAGCTACCTTTGAGGCTCTCCTCTTCCAGGGGGAGGGGTAGACAATCTGCAAGTTGATTGCCTGAGTTAGCAAGGTGAGCGGAGGTGTCTGCCCTGTGTGTTTCAGATAATCAGTAAGACATCTCGAGTATCCAGGGTACGCTTTCCTGCCACAAAAGCTTCCTGGGGAGGTGGATTAGAATCATGGACATCTAGGGTCATCTAGTCCAACCCCCTGCACTATACAGGAATTTCAGAAATACCTCCCCCCCACAGACCCCCAGTGACCCCTGCTCCATGCTCAGAAGATGACAAAAAACCTCCAGGATCCCCGGCCAAACCGGCCTGGAGAAAAATTGCTTCCTGACCCCAAAGTGGCAATCAGCATTTCCCTTGGCGTGTAAGAAAGGGCCACGAGAACTAAGCACTGAGGCAATCCTCCCTGCCCTCCCTCTCATGATCTACCTAAGTTCACACAATCAGCATTGCTGTCAACGGGCTATCTAGCCTCTGCTTAAAAACCTCCAAAGAAGGAGAGCCCACCACCTCCCGAGGAAGCCTGTTCCACTGAGGAACCACTCTTAAATGTCAGGAAGTTCTTCCTAGTGTTTAGCTGGAAAATTCTTCTGATCTAATTTAATGTAATTCTGGAGCTCCCAAATGGTCATTCTTCTGTACTTCCTTGAGGCAGTGCAAGCTCGCTGTCTGTGGATCTGTGGGGGTAGTCGAACTTGCAGCCAGTGTCCTCTCTCCCCCTGGGCTGCCCGTTATTAGCACCCACGGTTGACTAGACTGCCGAACAAGGAGCATTCACAAGTCAGGCTAGGATTCACGGTTTGTTGAAACTGAATTTCTGTGGGTGATGCTACCCGGGAGGGGCCTGGGTGTCCTCCTTACCGTTCCGCATTGAAAGGAGGCTTCCAAGGGTGGAAGAGGTCTGTCCGTTCTTTCACACCATTGCAATTGCCCGTAAAAGTGGCCTGGTTATAACTTCGTGCCACGTCTAGGGGAAAAAATAGTTCACGCGAAGAGATCACTTGGCGGAGCGGGGCTGGCTTTCACCCGGCGTTCACTGCGAACTTTCGGTGTTTTGCCCATCTACCTTTTCTGTCCCCCCCCCCCTCCAGATTGTATTAGACGTCGGCTGCGGCTCTGGCATCCTGTCCTTTTTCGCAGCTCAAGCTGGAGCAAGAAAAATCTACGCAGTGGAAGCCAGCACGATGGCCCAACATGCAGAGGTCGGTGCATTCTTGGGGCCGATGGGACACAAAGGGCAAGGCTTTGAAGCCGGGGAGAGGGTGGAGTTGAGGGGTCTCCCTTTCGTTGCTGCACCTCTATAGACCGAAGGGAGGCCCGGGTCAGGCACTCGGGTTTGATGGGAGGGCGGGATCGATAGCTTTTCCTTCACACGTTGCCTAGGAAGATTTTGAGAAAACTTGTCACATTTGGGCGTCTTTGAGTACGTTGTCAAATCAGAGGAGAATGATGTAGCTGCCTTGGGTCCCCCTTGGGAAGAAATGAATGGAGAGTGCTGAGTCACTGCTGAGTTATGGTGACCCCTCATGGGGCTTTCAAGGCCAGAGACGTTCAGGGGTGGTTTGCTGTTGCCTGCCTCCAAGTCATGACCCTGGTATTCCTTGGACCTCTCCTGTCCAAATACTACCCAGGGCCAGCCAACCCTGCTTAACTTTCGAGATCCGACAAGATCAGGCTAACCTGTATTATCCAAGTCAGGGTATTGGGGGGATATAAAATAAATAAATAGGAATTTATTTCAATTTATATATTTATAAATAGGAATTTATTTATAAATAGGAATTTATAAATAGGAATAATAATGAGGAAAGGCGGGATATAAAATAAATCATTTTCCCCCCAATGCGTTACGCAATCCATTTCTATTACTCTATAAAATAACATTCCACAATCTTAATAGCTACAAGGAAAACGAGTAAGGCCCCCGTAGTGGCATGTGGCTTCCTGTAGATGCTGTTTTCTAGCGCATTTTGTGATTTTTGAATCCTGTCTCTTATACGGCTACCTTTCTAGCACTATAAAGATTAACCCTCACAACGTGTCCGTAATGGCCTCAGTAAGTCGTTCCTCTGCAAAGTCTGCAGCGGTGCAAACCACACACAGTGAGAATGAGAATCACGGGAATATTCAAAAACTAGAGGATTCTGATGCTACTCTTATAGTGAAGTCTTCAGACCCTGTTTTCTAAATGAGTGGGGGGCTGAGTCCAGCCGTCATGTGTGCTGGAAGTTCACAGCTGCAGAATGTGCCCCTGAATAAGGGCTGTCAAAAAGGAGGGTCAGCCACGTCCATGGAACACCGCAATTCCACATAGTTTTGAGGGCCACTTTATTACAATAAAAGGAAACACCGAAGAGATCTCCAAAACACTATAAGGATATTGGACCAGATGAGCTTTTCTTTATAGGAAACCAAGGCCTGTGTTGCTACTCCCGTCACCTGGTGGAACAATGAATGGTGATCTCATCACCTTTAGTGGAGGTTGAAAATGAATGAATGAATGAATGAACGACCGAACGAACGAACGAACGAATGTTTATTTGCGGTCAAAGGCCATTAATCATAGGAATACATTCTTATAACAGCCAAAGAAATTCATTCCAGCGCAGGAAATTTGTTTAATCATAAAAACCTTAAAATGTTTATAAAATATGACAATCCAAAAAATCTAAGATAAATCTAAAATGTCTAGTAAATATAAAATATAAAATGATTACGAGTCATACAAATAAAAAAAACTAGACATAATCATGCTTCCTATTGTGGAATTTTACCAAGTGGAAGCAGAAGTTGGCTATTTGTCTGGAGACAGTTGGATTTTCATCAATTAAAAGTCTCTCCAGGCAGGTCTTATCTGCATCTACTGATGGTCTGTCCAAAAATAGAGATATAAACTTATCCCTAGAAACTTGATGGAACAGGCATCAAAAGAACATATGAACCATCGATTCCACCTCTCCAATAGAGCAAGTGCAACATCTGTCATCATATGGTTGAATCAGTATTTCTCATTCCAGGCAACATCTGGAAGCCCAGTTCAGTTTGGTGTAGTGGTTAAGTGCGCGGACTCTAATCTGGGAGAACCGGGTTTGATTCCCCACTCCTCCATATTAATCTGTCTGTAGCAATAGAAAACAGCAAGAGTCCAGTAGCGCCTGAAAGACTAACAAAATGTGTGGCAGGGGATGAGCTTTCGTGAGTCGCTGCTCACTTCTTCAGATACAACTAGGATGTGAGTCCCATCTGTCCTTATATCTTGGAGAGTGGAGTGATTCCAGGTGCTGAATGTCAATAGCAGGTGAATGACAACAGCAGGCGTGATTGGATTAGTTGTGATATGCAGAGGGGTAGTAGGTGCAGAGAAAGCATTGGTAAAGAGACAGAAAACCTAGGTCTCGATTCAGTCCAGTATGACACATTGTCTTGAGCTTCATTCTCAGTTGCAGTTCAGCAGTCTCTCTTATCTCCCTTTGAAATCCTTTTGTAAGAGAAGGAAGAAGAGATGTAAAGATGGGTGCAAATGAGCTCTCTCCTCGTCTCATAGACTTGGAGTATTGTAGGTAGGCTCATTGCCACACTGCTCCTGATAAAGCGAACATGGAGGGAGGTGATGGCACGCGTGGCTTGTCAATGGAAGGGACCTTCTCAGCGTGTGTCTTGCACATTGTAGATTTTGCTGTTGAACGATTCCACATCCTTGGCCAGGTTTCACTCACCAAGTCATTTCAGGAGAACAAGGCTCTCCAGAGAGACTTTTCCAGCATGAGTTCTTGCTAGGCAGTGCCAGGGATAGAAACTGTTCCTGAATTTCAGGTGAGCGCATCATGTTGAAATTGTAATTTCTGGGATACACTTCCTCTTCTCAGCCGTGCCGCACTTGAGCCATGGTTCAGAACATGAAATTTAGCGGAGACAGGTCAACTGCAAAACCAGGATGTCAGTATCATCACACCCAGCCAGCTGCAGTGCTGGCTGCCTGACATAATGCGGAACAGCCCATGCATCAGCATTCTCACGGGCGGGCTTCCTCACAAGGGTGCCTATGTCAGAGAATGAGGAGTCCATGCTCTGTTCCCTGCTGAGACCACAAGACGTTACAAGTGTGTTTGGGGGATGCACCTGAAAACCGTCCCACGTGGACTGCAGAGGAACATCTCTGCTCTTTATCAGCTTTATGACTGCCCCACAGCGATGACTGCAACTTTTCCCAGTTCCCCTTTTGATCGGTAGGCTTGTGTCGATCAGCCACTGCACTGATTTGCTTGAAAAGGGGCAGAACAGGTTCAATGAATACATTGGAGTAACATCTCCAAAGGACGTCACCGTCTGGGGTTTTCCTGATAGAATTTGCCAATGACTGTCCATCAGTGATGTTATGCCCAGGGGTCATTTCCTGCAAGAGCGCACAGGAGCGGGCACATGCAACAAGCCCCGCCCCCTGCTCCCAGCAGCCCTCAGCCAGAGCAAGAAGCAGCCAGGTAAGTTGCAGAGGCTCCCCCCCTGGACCCCCGGTCCAAAACAGTTCAGTGGCACCTTTAAGACCAAGTTTTATTCAGGCACAAGCTCTCCCTCCTCTTCAAGGACAGATCTACACGTGTCCCAATAGCTAGCAATAAAAAACAGTCCCGTGGAGCCTGAGCGGTGGGTATTGTCTTCTGACACACTTCCGGTGATGTCAGGGGGTGTGACATATGCAAATAAGTTATGCTCATGAGCGCCTGCATCTCTTTTTCTACGAAATGACCCCTGGTTATGCCTCACCTAGATGTAATGCTCAGGGTACAAGCAGTTCCTACGGTTGACACCTCTGAACGAGGTGTCCAGTTAGTGTCTGCTGAAGTCAGCGATCCTCGTGTAGAAATAGAAATTTATTTGTATTTAGCCATAGGCCATTACAAACCAAGGATAACAACAGAGGGGAATACTATAAATATGAATAATGGTATAAAATAAGAGTAAATTTTAAGATATATTAAAACCATAAAACTGAAGTTATAAGCAATTAATTAAATCAAAAGGTGTCCACTAAGATCCGTATTAATTAGTTCCCATAAGAACGGCATTGGCCTGTATTTTCTTTGCAGCCAAGGCATATAAAGCCATTCTATAAGATATATTGGCATTGACATCAGCTAACAAGAATACAGTCTTCTCAGAGTCTGAATAGAAACTTAAGTCCGATAAAATACCAGGGAGAAATTTTAACCTGGGTTGGGTATACATTGAGCTTTCAAGAATATAATGGGTGATCCTAGTGAGAGTTCAGTGTATCAGCGTGGTTGATGCCGCATCCAGCATCACGGGCAGCGATGAGACGTCGCAGGGACCTTTTCGTCTGGTTGATCTCTCGGACGGCCAGTCCCTAAACTTTTTACGGCTCATTGCAAACAACGAGGGCATTTAGTTCCTAGGAAACAGTCTCCGCATTTGAACGCCGTCCCTCATTGTAAACTGGTTAGGTTGTTCAAGACCTTAAAAATTGTTTTCAGTCTGTCCCGTAATTAGGTTCTGGTTTTTCCCCCCGCTAGGGGTGATGCCACATTGGAGGTGAACCAAATGATTACCTCAAGGATGCGCATGTTCAGAATACCAGTGGTGTCCTTTGCCTCACTGCTTCTCTGACAGAGCAGTCTTTAGCAGGGTTACACCCTTCCGAGTCCACGTTGACCCAGGTTAGTCTCGGCTTCCGAGGTGGGGCAGTTAATGGACCAGGATTCTGTCTAGCTCTGCAGTTCATTTGGGACACCCAGAACTTACCAGGATGTTTGATGTAGCCATTCAGCCCTGGAAGTTCACGGTGAACTATTTAGGAACACTTTTTGTGCTTCGTGCGTGTAAACACCGGCCTGATCCTGATGTTTGCTGATTTTATTTTAAAGGGGAAAGTTGCAGAGACTGCAGCCTTTAGACTGCAGCTGAACACGTCCATTGCAATTGGAGGTGTTTCCAAATAGTTAACATAACTGTAGGGCACCATGAATCTTGGGGGGTCCTGGTATGTTATCCCTGAACCACCGCGGCAGCTGGCGGGCAGAAGGTGCCACCATGGCAAGTAGCCAGAACGTTGTACCGCAAGTGCCATTTCAGCTGGGAGCAGGTGACACAAGAAACCATTTGGCCCCCGTGAAGCTTTTGACTCTGGCCTAGCCTACCAGTAACTGTGGGAGTAAATGTCTACTAGAACAAACTCCATAAAACACCCATCTCTTTTTGACAGGAGCAGATAGATGGGAATATTTATGGTCTCTCTCTGACCCTCTCCCCCCATTCTACCGGGACAGGTTTTAGTGAAGAGTAACAGCCTCACCGATCGGATCGTGGTAATCCCAGGGAAGGTGGAGGAGGTCTCGCTTCCCGAACAGGTGGATATCATTATCTCTGAGCCAATGGGTTACATGCTTTTCAACGAACGGATGCTGGAGAGTTACCTGCACGCCAAGAAGTATTTAAAGCCTAGCGGTAAGCGACTTCTGCTCAATATGGCGGGGGACTGGGGCATTCGGGAAGGGGCAGGGGGCCAAAGCTTCTTTTGACGCAGCTGGTTAGCGCAGGCCTTTCATTCTCCGTAAACTGGTGGATTTCAGTTGCTCGGAGCAGGATACAGCAGCAGTCTTGGGAGCTAGAGGAAGTCCCACCGGCTTTGCTGGGCTTCTGCGTTCTACACGATTCACCGCAGAGCGGTTGCAACCAGTGCTCCCTCTAAGCTGTGGAGTCTCGTGAGCAAAAATCATACTTTGTGAGCTCCTGGCATTAAAGCTGTGAGCAAGCGATTTGGCCACTGCATAAATTAATTTGCTCTGGAGCCCATCCTTCCCGAGCGAAGGCAAAAACGTGTGAGCCGGAGGCTAAAAAAACTGTGAGCTGACTCACACTAACTCATCTTGGAGGGAACACTGGTTGCAGCCCTTGTGAACCTTGTATGCTGGTGAAGAAAGTCTTGATATCTGGCTCTGTGGGTCTTCAGAGCAGGACCCGGTTGTTCCCATTGAAGTTTTTAGCACCTGAAAACGACTTCGCTCCTGTGCCCAAGAGCATGGGAATAAGATAATCAACCTTGGGGGGGGGGGGGGTATGTCCATGATGATTGTTTTCTCTTGTACACTCTGTGGCTTTGTAACCCTAATCCTTGTCTTCTTCAGTTTGGAGGTTCTGCCAGAGCTGGCCTCTGCTCCCTCATTGGTCAAGGGGCGTACAGTAAATCTAGAAGTTGTCCCAAGGAGTCATCAGGAGAAGGGTGTCACAGATGTTTCCCAGTCACTGAGATCCCATGCAGGTTGTAGGGGCACTCCTGTGAATGTCCCAGTCCACGGCCCTTAACCCTCTGTGAACCGAACCCAGATCTTTTGCCTTACAGGGAATAATCGTAGGGGCGTTCGGTTTCCTGATGGCCTTCTGTTTTCCTAATTGAGCCTGTAATTGATGACTTGTTTAGAAAATTTATATGCCGCCTCCCCGGAGACCTGCTTGAGGCAGCTCTGTTAAAACAAGCCGTAGAAACCACATGATTATATCTGCCCCTGGAGCGGATTGTTAAAATTGCTTGAGAACCTGTATGAACAGTGGTGTTCCTTGAACTTCAAACAAATGGATATTCCTTACCCACCAAGAATAGTTCTTCTAAAGTCATAGTAATTAGTTTATCTGGTTATACCTCATACCTCTTTTTGTGTTTGTATATCAGCTGGATGTGTACTTTATGGCAATTGTTGTGATTAATCTATTCAAAATATTAATAAAAAGTCAATGTTAGAAAAAAATAATTGTGGATTAGGGCTACACACAGCAAAAGGAGATCTCTTTACAGATCTGGGCCAATCCCCAGGTTTGCGGAGAAAAAATTCGGAACTAGGGTTGCCAGCTCTGGATTAGAAAATACCTGGAGATTTGGGGGGGTGGAGCCTGGGGAAGGCGGGGTTTAGGGAGGGGCCTCCAGGACATGGAGCCCTTCCTCCAAAGCAGCTATTTCCTTGAGGGGAGCTAATCTCTGTCGTTTGGAGATCAGTTGTAATAGCGGGAGATCTCCAGGCCCCACCTGGAGGTTGACAACCCTATTCGGAAAAACTTTTTTTAAAAAAAAAGAGGTGATTTTTTAATTTTATTTTATTTGAATCGATTTTTATCCCTCCCTCCCAGCAAGCAGGGCGGGTTACAAGTCACACAGATGCCAATATAATTTAGATACGGTAATTAAAATCGTATCATTATCGAAACAATAAAAACAGCAATCCGAGTGGATTCGCCTCGACAGTGGTGCTCAGTTTGGGCAGGTCAGAGGCCAGCATTATCAGCATAATCAGCAGGGGAGGCGGAAGGTGGATTTGGGTGTCCGCCGCCTCATCTGAAGGCCCGGTGGAACAGCTCTGTATCCTGCAGGGTCCTGATCTCAAGCGGGAGCTCATTCCACCAGGGGGGGCCAGGGCAGAGAAAGCCCTGGCCCTAGTCGAGGCCAACTGGACATCCCTAGGGCCGGGGACAACCAGGAGATGTCGGGAGGGGTCATTTCGTAGAAAAAGAGGTGCAGGAGCTCATTAGCATACCTCATTAGCATGACTTATTTGCATATGCCACACCCCCTGACATCACCGGAAGTGTGTCAGAAGGCAACACCCACCACTCAGGCGCCACTGGACTCTTTTGGATTGCTAGCTATTGGGGGGGACGTGCAGATCTGCCCTCACAGAGAGACCTGAATAAACCTTGGCCTTAAAGGTGCCACTGGACTGTTTTGGACCGGGGGGGCCGGGGGGGACTCTGCAACTTACCTGGCTGCTTCTTGCTCAGGGGGTGGGGCTTGTTGCATGTGCCCGCCCCCTGGGCTCTTTACTGCTGGAGCTCCGCTCCTGTGCGCTCCTGCAGGAAATGACCCCTGGATGTTGGGGTCTGCTCGTGAGATCTCAGCTACCCAGATGCATTGGAAGGTGATGGGGCGAAGGCAGCTGGGAGGAGCAGAAGGCACCAGCCAGGGGAAGTGGGCACCGAGTACTGGCAGTGTTGGGTACTTGGACAGCCGTGGGTTCCCTCATCACAGCCCAGGCACCGCCACTGCTCAGCAGTCCTCACCATCCCTGGGGGCAGGGAGAACAGGCTTCCAGGAGGCAGGTGCTGAGCACTGGTGACTGGCGCCGGCTGGGCCGAGGAGGTGGGGGGCTCTTCTTCCAGCCACAGCTGCCAGCCCCACCAGGGAGAGAAGGCGACAAGCAACACCAGCCCGGAGGAGGCAGAGGTACCACTGCTGCTTTCCCCCATCCTTTTCTGGCAAGCGAGGGCACCACTCCTTCATCTGTCCTCCCTTCCCCACCTGCTGCCCCTGCCAGGGAAAGAAGGCGGGCACAGAGGAATCGCCACGGGGACGTGGCGATGGCGGATTCCTCGCCCACCTTGTGTATCTTGCTTGTTCATCAGCCTAAAATGAAATCTTTAAAATGGCCCTCTGGTAAGAAGCAGATCGTAAAAACAGACTTTAAAGATGGAACCCTTTGGTTTCAAGCCTGAGTAGAGACGCGTGTTTTGACCCGCTCCTAGGCGATGGTGAAATGGGTGCCAAGGGAAGCTCACCAAAGCCCTGTATATGGCCGGTGGTGGCACAGAGGGCAGAGTTTGGGAAGAGGATCTTCACGGGTGTCAACGCTTATTTATTTATTTATTTATACCTTCGGCTTATATACCGCCCTGACCCCGAAGGGTCTCTGGGCGGTTTACATAGTGGTTCTAACTAACCAATTAACCTGACTAGGGCCACATTGTCTACAGGGTGGTGACTGCCTACCAGCACCCTGGGCTCTGCCCAAATCTCCTCTCCATTCTTTGCCCTTCAAATTATTTGCGGTTGGCTCGGCTGTCTTTCTAAGGCGTGATTCAGCTTTCCAAAAATATAATTCCTAGGAACAAAAAAAAAAGAAAGAAAGAAATATTAACGAATGGTATGATTCATATTACGGATGAAAAGGAAATGGTGGCAATAGAGGCAAAAAGGGAAAGTGAAGTGAGAAGAAGAACATTTTGGAACAGACCTTGTAAGCTAGAGAGGGTTACCAGATGTTCCTCTTTTTTGATGTCCTCCCTCTTTTGGGCTCTTTAAAAAAAAAAACTGATGAAAACGTCCTCTTTTGGGGTCAGAAGGTTAGGAGTATTCCTAGTTAGTAGCAATTATCTCAGTTTAAATAGGAGGGGTATTTAAAATGAGATTTGTCACAGTGGTCGCTTTTATTTATTTACAAGGGAGGGCCTGCAAGAAACTTGCGGGGAGGAAGCATTCTCCCACCTGCTTCCTTCCCTCTCCCCCTCCCGCTTTCTTTCTCTCCCCAAGCCAATCCCTTCTTTTTCTTTACAACCCTCCACCAAGTCGATCTCTCTCCCCCCCCCCCCACCCCACACACACCTCGCTCTCCCCCCCTGCCCCCCCCACTTTGAGCCCACCAGCAGTGGCAGTGCCTGGGAGGCTGAGCCAGTGCAGGCTCAGCCATAAAGCCACCCGCTGCTTTCCCCCCCTCTTTGCTCCCGGCTTCCCAAAAGCGGAAAAGCCTGCAAAGGCCTCGTCGCTAGGAAAGCCGTTGCTAAGGGCAGTCACATGCTCAGAACTTTCCAAGGAGAAAGAAAGCTCCTTGTCGTTGGTAAGTCCTTTCTCTGCGCATGAGCAGAAAAAGCTGTTGTACTTTTGGGGGGATTTAAATATCCCCCATATCCTTTTAAAAAGTTTTTAGATTTTTCTGCACAGCTGGGAGGGTGCCCCAAGTGTGCAGGATAATCTCTTTTCCCTCCACGTGCCCCCGATCTGCGTAAATAAATATCCGCATGCAGGGGCCTTGTTGGGAACTAGATATTTAGATTTTATTAGGCTTACATCCCACCCTCCCCGCATCGCAGGCTCAGGGCGAGCTCCAACACATAGGTCTGCAGCTGATGCAGATATACATTTAAAACCTGTAAAATCATCACATACTAAAACAACAACACCTCAGCAGAAAACATTGTGGTCCCCATCCGGCTTCACGGATCTGTGGTCACCGGAGGTCACTGGATCGCTTGTTTGAAGTAGCCAGTGGGGAAACGTGTCCCCTTTTTTGCTTTTCAAAATGTGGGGCCCCTGAAACTCGAAGGCACGAGACGGGGTTGATAAAATTATTCGAAGCAATACGAGTGCCGGAGACATCGATGAAAAGAATGTTCCCATGCGTCTCGGGGAAAGCTGTTTCCTGACCTTGGAAAGGCCAGAGAAGGAAATCAGTGCTCCAGAAGTCCAGCTTCTCACCCTATATTGGCGAATCCCACACTGAAGCCTACTGACCCATAACCTCGTGAGCCGGGACTGTAAAATCTGAAAGCTTGTGAATTTCCACCCAGGTGCTGACTCTTTTGTAACTAAAAAGGTAGAGGCAGATCATGTCCCTGCAAGACTTGGATGCATTGAATAGTATCAAAGTGGTTTAGTGTAGTATCCAGTGGATCCAGGGATACTTCATGACTTCTGATGCAGTGGGGTGGGGTGGGGTGGGGTGCGGGTTAAAAGAAATGCACCCCATAAAATAGAGATACCATTTCTGTTCCGCTGTCTCTGTAATCCAGCAAATCCTTCTAGAAGAAGATGAAGAAGAGATTGGATTTATACCCCGCCCTTCACTACCCAAAGGTGTCTCAGAGCGGCTGACAAACTCCTTTCCCTTCCCCTCCCTTCCCCACAACAGACACCCTGTGAGGTAGGTGGGGCTGAGAGAGCTCTTGACAGAAGCTGCTCTTTTTCAAGGACAGCTCTTATCAGAACTACGGCTTGCCCAAGGTCATCCAGCCAGGTGCAAGTGGAGGAGTGGGGGAATCAAACCTGGTTCTCCCAGACGAGAGTCCGCGCATTTAACCACCACACCAAACTGGCTAGGCCAGAACGCTTGATCAAAAATCATTGTTCAAGCCCACCAGGATGGAAAACAAGTTCTACTTTCTATGCATTTTCTCCTTCTGTGTCCTTTATATACGCTGAACTGGTTACCCTTCATGGGGCCCCGTTCAGCTAGGAACTGGAAGTGTAGGTGCGACTTCACTGGACGGCTGTGTCCCTTTGACGAAACCCCACCTTCCTGCCTGCCCGTGTCACTTGGATCCAACCCCTTGTGTGCCGCCAGCCACTTCCCCCGTGTGTCCAGTTTCCCCAGTGCCTGGCTCCTCAGGCAGTTTCCCCAGAGATTGCCGCATTAGGTCTGAACACCGCCCTCATCTCCTGCCGCTTCAGGTCTTTCCTGGGGGAAGAGGCAAGCGAGCGAATCTGGTCACAGGGCGTTCTTCGATGTGGCCGGACTGGATGGCGCTTTCGCAGTAGGAACGGCTGCAGCCAGAGTGAACTCTGCAGATGGCAAAGGGACAGGTGGCAGTAGAGGGTGTGTGTGTAGCCAAGCCAGCAAGAACAGCATTGGTGAAGCGAGTCCCCGTCCCTCCTCTCTGCACACGTACTGGAGTCTTGTATCTGCTTCACACCTAAGAACATAAGAACAGCCAATGTTGGATGAGGCCAATGGGCCATCCAGTCCAACACTCTGTCACACAGTGGCCAAAAATACCAGAGAGGACAAAAAAAAGGGAAAAGGGAAAAAACCTGAACCTAAAACCTAGAATTCAGAACCTAAAAAGGTTAGTCAAGAATAGAAGACGGCCAACTCTAAAAATCTAATTATGGAACATACAAAAATATACATATATTTATTGAACACAAATTAAAATAACAAATAAGGGCCCATTCATACCTCATATACAAATATAAAAATACAAAAATACAAAGGCTGATAAAATAGACCTAAATAGGGTTTATTTTATCAGCCTTTGTATTTTTGTACTGTGGTTACGAAGTGCAGTTAATAAAGGCGGCCCCTCTCTCTCTCTCTCTCTCTCTCTCTCTCTCTCTCTCTCTCCCTTCC